CTCTCTCTCTCTCCATCTCTCTTCTCTCTCTCTCTCTCTCCTTCGCTCTCTGTCTGTCTGTCTCTCTCTCCCTCTCTTTCTCTCTTTCTCTCTCTTCCTTTCACATTCTGTGTCCTTGCGACCTTCTGCAGTCCCCGACGTCGCCACGGCTGGATCCGCTCGAGCGTGTCTTGTGATGTGCGGCGGTGCGAAGCCCGTCCCACTGATCAAGGCACAGGTACGAAATGATGGGTCCATCATTTCTTGCCTTCCCATGTGCGTTTTCCCAATCGATTCCTGGGCCCGAGGTCGCAAAAATTACGACGTCGGAGGTCTGGGGAGGCGGGAAGCACGACCTGGACCTCCGACGTCTTGGACAAATCACGACGGCCTCGCAGGTTCCCGGGACCGTCAGAAAACGACTCAGGATGAAATCGACTTGGGTTACAGGGCTATTGGGCTACAAGGCTATAGGGCTGTAGGGCTATAGGGCTATAGGGCTAGGGCCATAGGGTTATAGGGCTATGTGGGCTATTGGGCTATTGGGCTATAGGCTTGTTGGGCTGTAGAGCTATGGGGCTATAGGGCTACAGGGCTATAGGATCAGAGGGCTATAGAGCTAAAGGGCTAGATTGATATAGGGATATAGGGCTATTGGGCTATAGTCCTATAGGGCTATACGGCTATATGGCAATAGGGCTACAGGGCTATAGGGCGATAGGGCACCCCCAGGCACCCCGGCACCCGGGCACCGGGCACCCAGGCACCCAGGCACCGGGCACCCGGGCACCCCGGCACCCGGGCACCCGGGCACCCGGGCACCCGGCCCGGCCGCATGGGGCCGGAATCTTGCCGAACCTCATCGAACCTTTGAATCCGCCAGGACCCTTACAGAGGCAAGCTCTGATTGGGTACTAACCCATGGCAACCGCCGCTACCTTCGTCGCCGCGATCGCCGCCGTCTTCATCGCCGCCGTCGTCGACGTCCTCGGGTTCTGTTCGGGCACCCTCTGGCCATCTCGTGGGGCACGCTGGGGGATTATCAGAGGCATCCGTACGTATCCTGAGGGGCCCCGCGACTTCCCCAGAGACTCTAACTACAGAAACTCCTTTCGTATTCCGGCCAGAAGCATCCAGAAACGATGTACATTAGCCCTGGCGAGGGGAATGATGGCGATGGTGATGTTCATGATGACGACGGTGACGATCCTAGCTAGAACCTAAGCGCGCGCGAAGCGCGCGCGTGGTTCTAGTATTATATATATATATATATATATATATATATATATGCAGTATGTATGTATGTATGTATGTTTGTATGTATATATAATATATATATTATATATATATATATATAATATATATATATATATAGATATATATATATATATATATATGTGTATATATACATATATATGTATACATATACATATTCCTATTTTTATAGTTTTACAGGGCCGGCGACCCCACAAAAGCGGCACGCGGTGCCCCCCCCAAAAAAAACGAATTTCGGCCTCCCCGAGCCTCTGGGGCGCTCCTGCAGAGTGCTTCCGTGGATCTCCGGTCCTCCTGGACCCCCCAGGCAGGTCTGTCCTGCGAGTCCGACGCGAAAAAAGAAACCCCCACGACGGCCAAAGAGGGCCCCGAGACACCCAAAGATCGGCCCGAGACGCCCAATATGGGCCCAAGACTACCCGACAGGCCTCCTCCAAGACGCCCCAAGAGACCCCCAAGAGGCCTCCCAAAAGAGCCCCGAGAGGCTGAAATGGTTGTTTTTCCCATGTGTTCTTCTATGTTTTTTGCCTTCTCGTTTTTTCCCCTTCCCCACGCTCCAACACGGCCCAAGAGGTTCCCTAGATCGCCCCAGTATTGCCCAAGAGGCCCCCCAAAAGGCCCCAACACGGTCCAGGAGGGCTCCGAGACCGCCCAAGAGGCGCCCAAGGCGGCCCAAGAGAGCACCAAGACGGCCCCAAGAGAGGCCCAAGAGGGCGCCCAAAAATTCAAAACTGAGTTTTCCGCCGCGAGAGGGCCCCGAGAGGCCCCAAGAGGGCCCCATGAGGCCCCAAGAGGCTCCCCAGAGGCCCCAAGGAGCCCCCAAGAGGTCCCCAAGAGGCCCCAAAAAGATCCCAAGAGGCCCACAAACAGCCCCCAAGAGGCTTCAAAACTGCCTCCCAGAGGCCCCCGAGAGGCGCACCACGAGTTCCCAACACGGCGGTCTCCTCCTCTCATTATCCCTTCTCTTTGTCGTCGCCTTCTTCGTCGTCGTCGTTGTCCTCGTCCCCATCCTCTTCCTCGTCTTCTCCTCCTCCTCCTCCTCCTCCTCCTCCTCCTCCTCCTCCTCCTCCTCCTCCTCCTCCTTCTCCTCATCCTCTCAAGCTCTTCCGGTTCAGTTCAATCGGCACAGGACTGAGGAGGAGAAACAGGAGGAGAAGCAGGAGGAAGGGTGGGGAA